CTGAAAGGCCTATGAAGCGGTATATAAGTCTACTGCTATTGCTATTGCTATTGCTATTGCTATCGCTGGAGATTTTAAAGATTTCAGAAAGTGCTTTCTCTTTCTCATGGAAGGGTTAAAATGGTTTTCCACGCATTGCAGGTGGGAATACATAACCTCATGGTCCATTCCAGCTCTACAATTCTATGATCTCTGACAAGAAGGCACGTGGTTCAAAAGGTAGTCTTAGTGTAGGAATCTTAGGAAGATTAGTCTTAACAATAGTGATACTAGAATCTTAGGAAGATTAAGACACGTGTAATTTTAGGAAGATTAGACCTGCTAATTTTTGCCAAACTTACTGCTTTCTTTTGCTTTCCAATCCACGCTGAATGTTCTTGATTTTCTTTTAGTGCCATTATTCCTATACCCTGGATTACTTTTCCAATTCAAATCATTTACTGATTGTAAAATTCAGTGGCTGCCGTTCAGGCATCAAGGTTGAGTTGTCTTCTTTTGCTGTCTGCCTCAATGCTTACAAGTCCATAAAGCTTTTAACACCCTCCTCCCTATTTTTATCCTCTCTTTTCTCTTTCCATTCTTCTTTCCATTCTTGAAAAAAAATCATGTTTTGATCATGTATGAATGTAAGTACTATATTTTTTCTGTTGTCTTTGTGTTTTCAGAAAACATGATATCCCTTTTCAGATTATTGGATTAATTTGCTGGATTGGTGGCTTTTTAAAAATCAGACAGACATTCCCTGTATTATTTTGTCTTAAACACTGCCCAGTTTAAATCAACTGGGCAGCTCTGAACATAAAAACAGAACATAAACAATGTAGATTAAAACAGCAATAAATATGTGGCAGATATGGTCAAGACAATATCACAAGAACAAGGGTATTAATCTTAACATTCCATTGTCTGGTATCATCTTTTTAAAGACTACATAGGAAAGGGGGGGGGGGTTGTTTCCTGTTGTGCAGCATCCTCTTTTATTGTATATCATGAGGGATATTGGTAGTGGATAAAATTATGAACTATACTTAGTCCTCATTTAACAACCACTCATTCAACAACTGTTTGAGTTGCTATGGTGGTGATGAGAGATAGTTAACTCCCAGTCCTCAGAGTTCTGGCTGCCCCAGCAGCTGGAGTCGCATGATTGCAATCTGGGCATTTGGCAACCAGGTACACTTAAATGATTGCAGCATCCTGCAGTCACATAACCATTTGTGACCCTCCCTGCTAGCTTTCAACAAGTAGAATCAATGGGGATGTTACATGGGCATTTATTCCGGGCCAGAATATACTTTGAAAAATGAAGTCTCCATGTTGAAAGGATCCACAATTTCATGCCATTAAGCATAAGAAAACTGTTCATTTTTTTTCTTTATCTCTTTCACCACTAAAATTGGCAGTAGCATCATCCATCTACCTTAGATACTCTATACCCATATTATAGCATCAAATTTGGCAATTACACCTCTGAGTAAATGGGAGTGTAGCCACAGAGATTTCCTGGGCAGCATTAACTACACAAATCCAATGAATCACTTGCATGTTGTTCAAGACACTATTTAAGAAATGTACTTGTAGTTATTGAGTGGAAGGATTTTCCAGAAAAACTGCCTCAACTATTTATACTGAGAAATGCCAGGCAAATTGTTCATGATAATATATAGGAAGATTATTTTGAAACTTTGAACAAATGTTTAAAATGCTACTTGAAATTATTTGGTCTCCTTTTTTTATGATTAGACTGAGAGTTAAAGCCAGTGGCAATTAAACATGCATCTGGAGAATTGAAGGTTGTTGATTTTTCCTGTATGACATTATGATTTATTTTCTTTCTTCCCTTTCTTTTTTAACAGGAAAGCTCATAAACACTACTGGTGATCTTCTGTGCTCATTAGCTGAGGATGTTAAATTTCTAGATGAAAAATTATTTGATGCAGAAGGAGAATTTGACTGAACTAAGGATCTCCATCATGGTGTATTACAAACAACCAAAGGAATGTTATCAATGTCCACCGTTACTAGGTTTTAAAGCAAGTTTCTATTTGGGTCATTTCTTATTTGCAGTATTTTCATTGCAGAAGTTATATAACTCTCCCTTCCATATAGTTAGGTTTTATATAACTGTAAAATGACCACATTATTTTACCAGTGCATATGGTTCTTGGCATAAATGCTCTCATCATGACAACAGTCCCCCCCCCTCCCCGCTCTTCCAGTGGGCATGAGCAATATCAACAGTTAGAGAGGACAGCTGGAGGAACAGAATAGAAATGCCTCCTGCATTTTGGAAGCTCAGTACAACTGCAGGTTTTCTCCATCTCCTGCGCACTCCATCCCACCCCAAATAATCTGAATCTTCAAAGGAATCCCCAGGCTATTTTGTATTTTCCAAGCTGATGAAGAGGCAGAGGATAGTTCCATCATTGGTATTTTGAGCTGTGTGATGCTTAGAATGTCTCTTAAAAGTTCAACTCATTACTTGAAATTAAACATCCCTCCCTCAGTAAAGGATGGGTGAAATCCTGATAGAATCCTTTTCCAGCTGAAATGTGTGGATGTTTTTCATACTGTAAACATTACTAGTGTAGTGGGACAACTCTACCAAAGTTGTTTTAGAAATCAGTCCTGTGTGTAGATATCTACAGAGCCCTTTCTGACATTTTTCTGTGATTCCTTCCCATACTGCCAGACAATATGAGAAGGCCCATACTGTGTGGGAGAGGGTCTCCTGTATCTTCTACATTCCAGACCCTGAAGTGAGGGATAGTCACAGCAGTAGCTCCTTCTCTGTGCACAAGACTGTTTATGCTTCCTTGGCTCTACCTGAAGGAGCTGTGCTTCATTAGCCCTCATCTCACCAGTGGTAACATGGAGGCCTCTATTACTGATGAGGAAAGTTTGTTGTGCAAGTTGTAGCAGCATAAATATAACAAATCTTATGATCCATTTCATTAAAATACATTTTCTCTTACTTTTTTTCCTTGTAAGAGCATGCTTCTACTTTTGGTCCATCTAATGCACGGGTGTCAAACTCACCAGGCCACATTGCCATCATGTGACATTTCATGATGGTTTCCCCCTTTGTGGAGCTGGGGTGGGCGTGGCCTGTGTGTAACACATCTGGCCTGCGGGGGCCGCCAGTTTGACACCCCTGATCTAATGTATCTTTTCAGAACAAAGTGTAAAATGCATTGTTTGTGTGTTGAGTGTGTCTGGCTGTGGAAAAAACTGAATTCAAGTTAGATTAATTTATCAATTATTTAACCTGTAAACTGTGTGTGTTTATATGTGTTGGTTAAATTTTTCCAAAGGGAAGAACTTTATTAATAAAGTACAGCACCTGAACAACTTTTCTCTTTGCTAAGCCTGGTTTTTTTTTTTTAAGAAACGCAATGTGTTTTAGTGTTCGATATCAAAATTGTCTATTAGGAAAGTTTAATGAAATCCTTCTTTTCTTTTAAATATTTCTGAGGTAGTTCTTAATTTCTTTAGGTATTTTCCATCTCTTGTGTTCACTGGCTGCTGATGACCAGAGTGGCATTCCCACAGCATGGGAAATATGCAATTCAAACACCAGGCCCTCCCTGTCCTGCATTTTTTACCCAGTCATATGGGAAAGACAGCTCCAGTAGGAGCAGAGTTGGAGCAAAGGAGAACTTCAGCTGCCATTTTTCTGGAAGGTGCTGTTTCTCTTGGGAAAGGTTTTTTTATTGCAACATAAATACTGTGGCCTTGAGAAACAGTGATACTCCTCTTATGAAACTAATAAAGGCAATCTGATCTTACCCTTGCCCCAAAGTGAAATGGTAGAGGCAACAGCGCCTATAGCAATGACCCTGATACTGAAAAGTTGGAAATGTCATATTTTTATAAATCAGGGCTAGCAAATTTATTTTCTTACTGCAATCTTTGTCTGATACAGAATTTGCTATCATTCCAAATGGTGCATCTTTTGATTTTATACTAGCCTGTAATCCATGGTTATCTGCATCCTAGGAAGTAACAGCTGTTCAAGATACCATTGTAATCTGGTAGTGTCACTGTTTAATAACATTGATCATATGATGGCAGGGTATTGTTGGATTTATTGTATGTAAATTATACATGTTGCAATATAAGTATTCCTTGAGTTTTCATACTAGGTTAGCTACACCAGTGGTCCCCAACCGTTTTGGTACCAGGGACCAGTTTCATGGACAACAATTTTACACAGCTGGGAGGGGAATGACTTCAGTTGAGGACCCCTGAGCTATACATTTGAATAAAGAACAGTATGAAAACGTAAATTTTATCTTAATTTGAAGTATCTCTTCATGGCCTGAATATTATTTTTAAATGTATACATAAAAATGTGTGTATAGATGTTCTTGTCAATGATCCAGAATTAGTTCTATTGCGGAAGGTCTGGCAGATAGCTATTGTCTGTTAAATTAAGTTTGGAATGGCCCAGAGTTCACAAAAGTAGCCCCTTGCCATTAAAGTTATGAAGTTGCTATTTTCAAATCTTTTGCTCTTAATGTATATATGCATTTAATTCTTTAAAAGAAGTACAGACTAGGAGAATTTCAAAAAACCTGACATTATAAATTCAGATGTAACCCAAAATGAATTGAATCTTTTGCAAATAACTTTTGCCTCAAAAACTTTTGCCTCAAGATGCATTTAACGACTTGTATTTCAAGATAAGAAACATATTTTGAATACGTAATATACCTTTGCTGATAAATTACATTTAAAATATCATTTAAATATATATTCTATGTAGATCTTTCTATGCTGGGAAATTTTAGACTTAGGAAAGAGACACAGTGGTGAAACAGACAGAAATAGCCAGATCCATCAACTGTCGTCTTTTTTCTGCTGCTGCACTTCTTAAGTTAGTAATTTGTTTCGAAAGTTTACTCCATTTCTCTTATATACTCCTGGATGAGATCATATATTGGTTTCAAGGTCAGGTGTCAGTACACTAATGGTACCCACCTGCATATCTCACTCTCTGGCATTCCAAATCATATCTATAACTTCGAGGCTATTGGCATTTGAATGGGGGAAGAAACAATCAGCTTTAACTCTAAGCAAGAGTGAGGGGCTAAGCATGAAAACTGGGAGAATCATTGTCTGCGGACTTTCTACCTACAGTTCTAAACAATTTTGCATTTCCTCATTTGAGATTGGTATGCAAACTGGCGGGGGGGGATCCTAGGCTTAAGGCTAGGGTGTCAAATTTGATTTCATTGAGGGCCGCATCAGTGTTCTGTTTGACCTCCGGAGGCCAAGGTGGTCATTGCCAAGATGGGCATGACCAACTCAACATCATTCATGTGGTGGCCCGAATGCTCTGCCAGTGAAAATGGGCCCCCGGACTCCATGCGTGGCCCTCCATTTTTGCTGGCAGAGGTTTGCAGGAGGCCGGGGTAGCTGAAAACACAGCTTGGGAGCCTGTTTTCGCTGGCAGAAGCACCGTGGGCCAGTCCTTTGCTGTTTCCAGGGCAGTCCCGCAGACTGGATCTAGGTACCCCACAGGGCAGATTCAGCCCCCGGGCCTTGAGTTTGACACCCCCTGCTCTAAGGTGTCTCAAAGAGCAAGAGGAAGACGTAGCCAGGAGGGTGTTTGCACAGATTTATGTTGTGCACAATTGGAACTGTTCTGAACTGGACCTCCACACAGTCACTTGTGCAGCTGGTTCAAAATGCAACATTATGCAGAGCTTAGTATGCCCATATAACAAACCCCAGAGGCTGCACTGGTTACCAAAAAGCTTTGGGTGCACTTCAAAGTGCTAATTACCACCTATAAAGCCTTACATGCTAATTATTTGAGGCATCATCTGCCCATGGATTCTGCCCATCCCATGTGCTCAGAATTGGCATATTCTGGGTCCTGTACATGTCATCCAAGAAGGTCTCTGTGGAGCCTGCCTTCTGGGATCATATCCCCTGAAACCCAAAGCATCCCCACTCTGCTCTTCTTTCAATGAACCTTTAGGATCTGGCTCTTTTCTCAGGCTTTTTGACTCTTTGAAAATGTAATTTTTAGAAAAATGTGAGGTTTCCCCCCCGAGTTTAACATTTCTTTTGTTGATCGCCTTTTGTCTTCCCCATTTTTATTTCTGTTTGCCTCCCAAAGTCATCTGGAGTTGGATGGTCTTGCAAATAAATTAAATAATATCAATATGAAATCAATTCAAACCTTAATCATATTACTAAATTTAGACCATACCAAAACACATTGTTCCATTCTATCATTCTTAACGTATGAAGATATTTTTTAAAGATCAATAAGGAGTGCATAACTTGCTTCCTTTCCTTCATGTTAAAGAGCTATACATGTTTTGTATCTACATAAATACTATTTTTGCCAAATCCCAGGCTTCATATAATTGAAATTCTTCAAGAAAAGTCAGAGTATGTAGATAAAATGCATGACAAAAATTTCTTCATAAAAAAAAGTGTAGGCACACTGTCTATGTACACCTTATGTACACCAAAGCAGCACACACCCACAGCCTTTAACTATAAGAAATCTTGCCTGTCACAATAAAGTATATCCACCAATGAGATTACAGCATACAAACCAACTAAAACTTAATGCTGACTGGCTGTCATATCTGATTACACAATGTGTCCACCCAACAATGATTTCTACTTCATTTTATTACTGAAATGTAAATACTGTTTGTGAAAAGAGGTATGGTAACACCCTAGCTCTTGTATACAACGTGAGATAACAATTGCTCCTTCTCCAAACATTTATAAAAGAAGATGTGGAAAGAAAGACTGAAATGTCTTCAAATGAAAATCAATACAAGTGAACAAACTGCTGTTTCAGATTTGTATGAACCTCTGATGACATCTAGAAATGCTTCAACCAAAGGCCCTGGGCTCCAGAGTGATCTTATTTTTGAGCAAATTGGGCACCGTATCAAAGGTGTTGGCAGTCAACTTGTGAAAAAGGTGAATGCTGTCTTTCAGTGGGACATCATGAATGGAGGAAAGGTGGTGGCCCAGTGGACCCTGGATTTGAAGTCTGGTTCCGGTCAGGTCTATCCAGGAGCATCTCACGAGCCTGCCAACACAGTTTTTATTCTCTCTGAACATGATTTCATGGAGCTCGCTTTGGGCAAGATAAAGCCACAGAAGGCTTTTCTGTTTGGGAAAGTGAAGGTGAAGGGCAATATTCTACTCGGTCAGAAACTGGAGATGATTCTCAAAGAGTATGCAAAGATCTGAAGTCCTTCCTTCCTGGCAATTACAGCTCTCTTTTTCTCTTTAGTCAAGATGTTGGTTATAGAGGAGGACGAGATTAAAATGCGGAGTATTTTAGTGGAAAACATAACTGTTCAAGTTTACGTTTCCTTTAAAGATATTTGAACTCTCTAGTGTTATCAGACTGATAAATAGTATACTAATTTTTTTTCCTCACAAATTCACCTTTTAAGACATGCCATTGTTTCAGCAGCAGGGAAGGTGCAGCTCAGTCATGAGTAATCAGGATGTGCTGGAGAAAATCCCCATTGTTTATTCTCTTTATGTGTACGTGTGTGTATATATATCTTTCATACACAAGTGAGAGAGTGAGTACACTTTTGTGCCTCTTGTACCATACAGAAAAACTATGAAGAAATTACAATGAGGAAATCCGCAATCTGAGTTCTCTCCTTTGTACTCTCAATATAATTTTTTTGGGGGGGAAATTAAGACATTATGAGTATATGAGAAACTGACATTACAATTCGGGCCTTGGAATGGAGAAAAGTTCACATCAAATGGGTATATATAAAAGGATAAGAGGATACAAAAAGGCATCCCAGATTTATAATATAATATAATTTATGGAGCTTGGCTATGGTTTGTTTATATATCTAACGCAGCGGTGGGTTCCTACCGGCTGAACAAGTGGTTCGCTTTACAGCTGGTCCAGAATGCAGCCGCGCGAGCGATATGGGGTGTATCTAGATACAC